CGGACCTACAGACGCCGCGGTTTATGACCCCGTCATCGATTTCTTCACCGAAGACGGGGTGTGGTCATCCTTCCATCGGAAGCCGCGTCAGTCGACCGATTACCGTGATAGATGCCCTTTCTGCTAGGCAAGTGTCGAAAAAAATATCGGAAACAATCGTGGTCAATTTTGCAAGAAGAGCGAGACATTGACGCGTAGACATTGACATTGGACTTCAGAGTCGATTCCGTGGCAAGCCACCTTGATCGAATTCGTCAGAATCAGGGAGCGATTAATGAGCCAAGGAATGCCAATCTCCTGGTACCAGTGAACTCCGCGAAGTCACGTGGGAGCGAGGACCCTGTCGGTCCAATGGGCGGTTTGAGCGAATTTCCCGACACCGAATACTGTGTGAGTTGCCTCGATTCGAGGGCGAGCACATGCAAGCTCACGAGATTGAGTTCTTTCCAGAAGGGAAAGGTGCCGCAGTCTCTGAACGTATCGAATCGCTACGCGTTGCTCACAATTGGTACGCTGTGTAGGTAATTCGAAAAGGGTCAGACGAGGAAGCAGCTCGTGATATCGCGGAGAAAACGGAAGTTCTTCAGAAAAATCCTCAGTACCATCCTAAGACCCAGCGGTATTTTCTGGAGTAGCGTTCCGCTGCTATTCTCAGTATTCTCTCTGATGTTCCTTGGCCGCAGGTGTTTACGTTTCCGTCGGTAGAAGGCGACCATCAACTCGAGGGACCGAAGCAGTCGCTTACGTTTCTATCCACCGTATATCGTCACAAGTATTGTCGTTTTCGACCTCTCTCTACCTGGTCCGTTCAGGATCGTCTCTCGCGAGTCAGGCAAAATGAGGAAGTTAGGAGAAGATTTCCTGGAGACAGCCGAGTCTCGCCATCCAAGAAATCGCTGGGGAAGTTAGGAGGAGATTTCCTTGAGACAGCCGAGTCTCGCCATCCAAGGAATCGCTGAGGATCGATATTTCGGAATGTATCTCGCACCTACAGCCTCTCCTCCTGCATTTGTGGTCCTGCATGCGAAGGCCCTGACGGGTGAAATCACGAGCAGAACAGCGTTCAGGTCCTGCTTTCGGGAGGTTGTAAGAGCCCCGTCGGCTCGAATGAGGCGTCTGCCGGGATGGGATGATTTGGAAAATAATATGAGATCCCTCTAGAGCCCGAAATTCGCTCTCCCCGCGGAATGGCGTGAGTCTATTTGGGGCTGAGGCTTTCGCTCATTCCCTATGTATCCGTCCGCGCATTTTTCTGCTACTCCTCTCGGGAGTCGAAGGGCGCCACGGTCCCGAAACGTTCCGGGGTTGGAGTCACGGCCAAACAGCGCATATTTCGTGCCCGAAACATCCAGTTATTCATCCCGCAGAAGCATGATGGCTCCAGATGGAAGTCGCTGCCTATTTGTATATCATTCGTCCCAGCTGATGATCTAAGCATCGGAGTCGTTAAGCACACAGCTATCGATGCGGATGGATCGGCTCAATCGATAATTTCGACGGCCGGCGCTCCTTCCAGGAGACCTTCTTCTGTGTACCGTTTTTCTCGATGAGGAGTCCGCTCAACGATGCTCAAAGAACATCGATTTGTCTATTTTGATTGAGTCAGACCTTCCAAGCCGAACTTTATGAGTCTAAGATCGTGATGCTTCTCGGACGTCTCATCCATAGCCGTAGAGGCGAGATATCCCTTATGCTCAGCTTCTACATTCAACTCGAGCTTGTGGTGATTCAAGCTTCGAAACAACTCCACGGAAAACCTTCTCGGGAGAGAGATCGCTGGTCTGACTGTCTGATGGTCGCAACCCATCGTCGTGAACTTCATGAAGTTCCGGACCCCAGATTCGTTCATCGTGGATCCGAAGGGTCCTGCTTCGAGTTGTTCGGAGGACTCCTCCGAATAGCTTCCTGCTGCTTACCCGGCATCCAATGATGATCAATGACATCATGAGCTGGGCCCTTCAGTGTATTCGAGAAAGTCTCCCGTAAGGAGTTGACAATTTGTTGCATAAATGATCCATCTCATCGAGATATGACCTCCTCCGGGGGGCTCTGAGCTTGATCCTTGAGAAATGATGTTCGGGTACGTATATGATACCGAGGAGCGTTCTTCGTTTTCGGTGTCCCCAAGTATCCGAGTGGCACAAGCCGACCCCCAGGGGTGTTCTTTTGTTGCGACTTGTTGTTGTACAAGTTCGATGCGAAAGCCAACATCCGTCAAACTGGGACACTTTTGCATTTCAACAGCAGGAGCTGTGATAAGAGAGAGAGTGTGTGAGCGCGAACTTCCATCGTAACACTTGCCGAGTTCGTGATTGATGGAACAACGGAATAGTCGCAGACGAACGCCCTGAGATGGACGAAGGGTCGTTTGCCAACAGACTTCTAGTCCGACGGTCGGACGGTCGACCAGTCTGACCGTCGGCGTTCGGTCTGGCCTGCGATTGAGGACAATTCCTCGAGTTTCGGTTCGAAGGGGTCAACGCCCGGACCGTTCCTCGATTCCCCTAAGGGTTCATTGGGCGAAAAACGCAAATGGCTTGATGATCAGAAGACATTCACGGAAGTTTTTGGCGCCAGAGTCGGACACGACGCACCGATGCCTGAACCTCGGTCGAACTCTCGCTCGAGCCCGACCTCCGGGGAAGAACATGGTGGCTGTACGCCACTCAATCATCTGTACGAGGCAGCATCGATTCGAGTTGCTCCAAAAACAGTCAAATTATCGATCGACTCATCGGCGGAGGAAACCCTCGGTTCGATCCGCCGATATGCTTCAGTTCAAGGTCTTCGAGAAAGTAAACACACAGGGGGCATCCAACAGACCGAGACAGATGAAACGAGCCGCGTTCAGCATGCTCTGACCCGACCCGACCACACTGACTACTGTCTTTCCAAAGCGTCAAGCTGAAGTATCCTTCCGACGCTTTTTACCCATTTTCTCGCAACGGGGGTCTTCACGAAGCACCGATACATCGGCCACTATTGACCAACCCGATTTTGGATGTCCATCGCGGCGGCGGCGGTGGCGTCGTTGATAAGTCGACGTTTTCGTGGTCGGAACAAGCGGGTCAGTGTATTCGGGCGACACCCTTGAACAAACCCCGAGTTTTACTGTCTATACAAGGATGGCATCTGAATAATAAGAAATCATCTGATCTGCCCCTCCGACGTGGAATGAACTTTTTCGATCTGTGTCCGATTCCCTTGTCCGCACTGATGGCGCGAACATCGTGGCCAATGTCTCCGGTCCGATTCCCTATCGATGAACGACAGCTGTTAGTCGCGTCCGCCGCATGGGATGTCACGCTGTGCTCGAATCGGGTGTGTTCCCACATTCCGTCGATGTGACTGTCGCCGTCGACCTTGACGTTCCGTTCCCAACCCAGGTGCGGCCCAGATTATTCTCAATCCATTGGTCAACAAGTGGAAATTCACTGTTTCAACGCGTCCACGATGCTCACAGTCGCCTCGACTCTCGAGTCCCGAACGATGACCGCACATAAATCACAGCGGATCACCCGGAGCAAGGAATCAATCGAAGAACACTTACCGATACACGGCTAGCTTTCCTCGATCCTGCAAATGCAATTTACGAATTATCCACTTGATTTCATCCGAGCTGAGTTTTTTCGAACGAAAATCAATAAAGCACAACGTAGTGCAATGGTCAGGGCTATACGCGCTTGTGGTCTGTCGGCTTGGCGTAAAAACGCTCTTCTGTGAATCTTTATTAGGACTGTCGAAGCTAAATCTGAAGATACGGAGAAAGACCCATCTGGACGTCTGTGAAGATAGATCAAGATTGATGCTCGACAGAGTCTCCGAGAAGGCCTACACAAAGCGCCGATCGCTCCGTGTCTTGCCGAATCATCGCGAGGAACATCATCGATATCGGAAGGACCTTACGCGCATTGAACTAATTACGAGGGCCGCGGTGAGGGACTCGGCCGTCGATGTGTTCGCCGATCATAGCCTCGGGGCGGGTTTCCAGATGACCGTTGAGGAATTATGAACAGATGTCATCTGTCACAAATCCTCTCTATTCTCCAGAGCATGGTTCATCGAAAAAGAAAAAGACTGTACCGTCGAAGGCCGTCTTTCCTCAACGAGAGAAGTGTTTGATTGAAAGAGCAGATGTCTTCGCTGATTGGAACCAAGTGATAATTGCTATGAATTGAGAAATTATCTTGACGCACGGCGTGATTTGCTCGGGCGTCGATATCTGACAGCTGCACAACAATGAGATTTATCTGCAGCCCGGCGAACAAGGCAGGAAAGGTGGGAAACCTCGTCAAAAACGTTCGGGTGGTAAGTGTTATGGTAATCGTTCCTCCTTCTTCATCTGTCGGAGTCAAAGAGCCGACATAGGAGCTTTGCCTCAACAAGTAGAGTAGCTTTCCAACGACCATTTTCCTTGCGTGGTTCATTGCCTATCACAGGGGTCATCGGTTAATCATCATCATTACTACTGTCGCGAATCGGAGGAAAGACTGCGTGGAGCTATCTTATTGTTATCTCGCGAGTTGCGGGACAATCTTGTCTTCTGAACGACACAACCAGTGGTCAATAGTTCCCATTTCAGAATTCATGCGAAGAAAAAATCTGGTAGAACCATCAGCCGCGGTGGTGGGAGCTTTGCTCGGGCATCATACAGAAGCTACCCGACCAGTTCGATCGACCGACCGACCGACTGACGGACTGACTCCTGGCACGAGTCTGCAAGAGCTCCTCGGCAGCTGCGGACGTCAGCGGTTGCCAGAAACGGAGTCCACGCACTAAAAGACTCTTTGCCCCTAGGCTTCCTCGCCATCCGGACTCCCTCTGTAGAATCGACTCTAAGACGGCATCGCCCGCTGTGGAACCGATCATCGCAGAGAGCGATATTCTCAAAATCGGGGAGGACAGTACCGACCTTTTAACTCATACGACACTCATCGGTATAACCAAGGCCGTCCGAAAGTGACAGGACGTCACACACCTTCGGTGCGAAAGTGAGCGACATGGCAGACTGTGAGAAGAAGAGTCGGAGCGGACGACCCGAAGATCTGAAGACCGTCGCATGTCCCTCAGAAGAATCTGAGCGGGTAGGTCATTCGAACCTTCCGATTCAGGAATATAGGTAACTGATAATGATGGTCTGCTCGGACCCGCGTAGAGCTGCGCGTCCGCTGTCGGGTTCTGCGAACAATCGTGAATCATGAAATTGATTGGAGGAGAGCACAGCGGTGAAACATGGGTAGGGAGATGAAGTAGCCGCGTCCAGCGGCGGGGACCGAAGGGAACTATCGTCCGACCCATCTGGGGAGGGGGGGCTGTATCGTCTGGGCAGGAGTCTGAACCGCGGAACCGCGGCAGGAATGTTGTGCCGAGATCGCTGCCGTTTCCCTCGGAAGCCTCGACCGTATACGCCGGGGGATGATTATTCCCGACGTACTTCGGCGCGGTCGGAGCAAAGAGTTATGTGAGCGATGAGCTCTCCTTCTCCATCCGACAGTTTTTCTTCTGTGATGATGGCTGGGGTGTCATCAGAACCGCGATGTGATAATGGGATAAAAAAACTAAAAGGGGGAGCGAATCCAATTCTGCCGTTTGCGAAACATCCGAAGAGCTCCCTGCTCGTTGCAATGAGTCTTCCTGCGGGCAACATCGCTCAGCCCCGTGGCCGATGATGTCGCGTCAAGTTAGCGATTTTCATCGAATTTCCCAAACGAATAGCCCGTGATCAACTAGGTTTGTGAAGAATTCTTGAAATAGTTCCGACATGGGAGCGAAGATCGAAATCGGTGAAGCTTTCGACATATTTTATTGTTGTCGGTCGACGTTGAACGTCGACATCGTCAACGAATTCATTGAGTACTTCTGAGCCCACTCGTCGCACGTGACGATACAGGGAGATGGATGACGAGCATCAAGTCCTAAAAAGTTTTGAGTTTTTGGTAGATCTGAGTAATTCCAGAAGGTGCCGCTAGTGAACGATGGAGAAGTTCACCCTTGCCACGGAGCAGAAGATCCAACTGCGTGAAAGATGGATACCGAGAGGCGAGGGTGGATCATCTTCAGGACAAACGCTGATGTCGTCACTCTTTCTCATTCTGCCCCCTCGCTATAAAAAGCTCACGAACTCCGAGGAACAGGCAGACAGTGGATCAAACTGTGAGAGATGCGACAGTTCCGTTTAGGCTGCGTTCTCCTCTGTGGTAAGAGGACGCTTTTCTTGCCGGAGTTCATACCGCCAGAGCAGATCAGGATGCGGATATCGATTGTTTTGTGATGCGTGCTCATCTGTCATGAAATTCGTGCTGGTTCTCTTAATGGATAGTTGTGCGCCCGGAGGAACGTTCGGCAACTCATTCCTACGCGCTATGCGGGGAACGAGCCGATCTCGGGTTATACTCGGGAGCCCGTCGACGAAGTGGGATTGCAGATTTCTTGTATCCCCCCGTTTGGGAAACAGAATCCCAGAAGGCTGAGACTAGAAGCTCCAGACTTATCCTTGCCAGTGATTGCCACTTGGTGATTCAGAAATTCGCGCTCTCCGATCTGGGGCTCCTCGACGCGCGCCGCCTGACCTGAGAAAAGTTTGACCCATCCAAAAGCATCTCTAGCGATTCTTTGTTCTTAGTTTTGAGTCGAGCCAGACTTCTGGGGAGACCTCCCCAGAGGCCCATCGCGGTTTCGACTATCCTCATTCACCATCTTCCTAATTAATGATGATGATGATGATTGAGAACCATAATTTTTCAGGGGCAGCTTTACTGAGCACAGCTGCTGCGGTAAGCTCATCATTTGTACTTTTAGTGTTCATTCGGCGGCCGTCCGAAGTCAGAAATGCTTCAAAAAGATTTCGACACGGACTGGTCGTAGGATTCAAATTCGCAAAGACCTTCGACCCCGATCGGACTCGTTGTCAGAGTCTTTGACTCGCGGCTATCATAAATATTTCCTATGGAAAAAAACGTCTCCCGAAAGTAGCTGGATCGAGGTGATCGTGCCTTCCTTGATTGAATGAGACAAATCTTCCACAGCAAGGATACGGCGGCGCTGAGGATTTGATCGGGAACACAAAGGACCTCCCTCAACCCGAGTACACTCATACGGGACCTCAACCGGACTACGAGAGACCAGCTGAGATTCCTCGACCAGCTCCTCCGGTAGAGCCTGATTATGAGCCGGAACCTGCCCCGGTAAACGTACCCACGCGACCTCCGAATCGTCCGATCCAAAACTATGGTCCCACGAGCCAAGGGCCCCGGCCTGCAGCTCCCGCTCCCCAACGACAGCCGGAGCCCAGACCTCTAGCTCCGGTCAGACAGCCATCGTACAACCCAGAACCCACTCCCGCTCCCCAAAGACAGCCGGAGCCGAGACCCTTGACTCCGATTCGTCAGCCGTCTTATTCGCCAGAACCCGCTCCGGCACCGAGGCCGACTGGACCAGCTCCCGCGCCAAGGCCGGCTGCGCCACCAACGAGACCTTCTGCCCCTCAAAGACAACCCGCTTACCAGCCGGAGCCCGCTCCCGGACCTCGACAGCCTGCTTACGAGCCGGAATCCGATTCCGCGCCCGAGGCACCACCTGCCTTCGAGCCCGAAGCTCCAGCCCAGGCGCCGAGACCCGCGCCGCGCCAACCGTCTTACCAGCCCGAAAGAGCGCCCGCGCCCCGACCGGCTCCCCGACCCGCTGCTCCGCCTGCGAGACAGCCTGCTTACGTCCCTGAGCCTGCCCCTCGTCCCGCTGCTCCAGGTCCTCGACCGGCAGCCCCCGCACCGGGTCCTCGTCCCGAAGCGCCGCGACAGCCTTCTTACGTTCCTGAGCCAGCCCCTCGTCCCACCGCCCCAGGTCCTCGACCGACAGGTCCCGCGCCAGGACCTCGTCCCACAGGGCCCGCCCCCGCCCCAGTCCGACAGCCCGCTTATCTGCCCGACCGGCCAGACGAGCCTGAGACGAATTCCGCCGCCCAGGCGCAAGGACAGACTGGCCCGTCATCATCCCAAGGCGCTGCGGGACGACCGTCGAACGATTACGACGCTCAGTTCGACGATGGATCGTACAAGGGAGACGACGGCCAAGTGTGGCCCGCCATACGAGGAGAGGCTGGGAAGGACTACCCGGTGTATTCGTCTGTTCCCGAGACTGGTTTCTCGTGCGACAGCCAAGAGCTGCCCGGATACTATGGAGACACCGGCGCCCAATGTCAAGTATTCCACATCTGCCAAGTGAACGAGGAGGGCGAAAAACGTATCGACTCGTTCCTCTGTCCGAACGGAACAGTTTTCAACCAGAAATACTTCGTCTGCGATTGGTGGTACAATTACGATTGTTCTGAGACGGAGGGATACTACAGTCTGAACGCCGAGCTGTACAAGGAGCCCGAGCCCGGAACTCAGCAACAACAAACCCAGGCGCCGACACCGCAGGCACCTCGCCAGCCCGCGTACACACCCGAGCCCGTCGGACCTGCCCCGGGTGCTCCCCGACAGCCGGCATACGTTCCCGAAGCTCCCGCTCCCGGAGCGCCCAGACAACCAGGACCTGGAGCGCCACGACCTCCCGCTCAACGTCAACCGTCTTACGTTCCGGAGCCCGCTGCGCCAGCGTCTCGGCCCGAGGCGCCCAGACAGCCTTCGTACGAGCCGGAACCAGCAGCACCTCGTCCGGAATCTCCTCGCCAGCCATCTTACGCTCCGGAACCCGCAGCACCCGCGCCAAGACCCGCAGCACCCGCGCCAAGACCCGTAGCACCCGCGCCAAGACCAGCCGCCCCTCGTCAGCCTTCATACACGCCTCAACCCGCTAGTCCGGCTCCCGCTCCACGTCCAGCGGCTCCCCGACAGCCCTCGTATGTTCCGGAGGCACCGGCGGCCCGTCCCGCTCCTCAGCGACAGCCGGCGTATGAACCCGAGTCTCCCGCGGCCCGGCCACCTCCCCGACAACCGTCCTACACCCCTCCCGCTCCGGCTGGCCGTCCCGCTCCTCAGCAGCCATCTTATACGCCTGAAGCTCCGCGACAGCCCTCGTATCAGCCCGAGCCAGCACCTGCACCCGCTCCGCCACGACGGCCCTCATACGAACCGGAGCCCGCTCGAGCCCCGGCTCCGCCGCGGCGGCCATCCTATGAGCCCGAACCAGCACCCGCGCCGGCTCCGCCGCGACAGCCCTACACTGAAGAGCCAACTCCGCAGGATGCCCCGCAGGAAGCTGCACCTGGTGAGTAATTGCCCTCCGATCATTTTTGAACACTCGGAATGATGCCGTTCCGGCGCAATCTTTTCAATTCCCACATCCCGTTCCCCAGCTCCCCAGAGGCCGAGTTTCAACGACAACAACCGTGTGCAGAGCCAACCCGCTCAGGGACCCACTCAGAGCTTCGAGCAAGGACCTCCAGTGGAAGACGATGAGGAGGATACCGGAAGATACTACGGACGTTAGATTTGAGGAATTTCTATTGAACAGGAAATTATTTCCATACCGGAGTGGTGCGCCCACGCAATGCAAAACTTTTCCTGAATTCATCGCTAAGTCATGGTGATATTTATGTCCATCGATCAGTTCACAACCCCGCAATCAACTTGATTGCATCTTCCTATTTATTGTTCCCTCTCTCGCTGCTGTCGTCGTTGTTGTTGTTGATGTTGTTGTTGTTGCTGTCGTGGTTGTTACTCGTCGAATGAGATGGTTCCTGTGTTCATTAGGAGACTGTATATTAAAACTGAGGCTGGATTGATTGAACTTGCCCCGAAGTCGCTCCTCAATGTGTGAAGTTCAACACTGCCGACAAGTGGAGCGCTGCGTAAAATACAAGCCGGACTACTCATACATTTTTCCTTTTCAACAATAGGCTTCTTAGAGGCTACGACGTACAGTCGGCCGGATCTAGCTACCAGAACTCTCCGATTGTGATCCCCAATGGGTTCTTCTCGAGATTAGGTACATCTGGGGAATTTCATCCAGACACAGCAACTCGAACTCACTAGAGCTCTGAAATAGTTTCATTCAATTCTATCCCGAGTTTCGACTAAATTGTACAGATATACCTAGGGGGCTCACTTCTTAGACTGTCTTGCTACTCGAGCGAAATCGAAAGCGCCGAATGAGTTTTTAGAATTACTCGCCACGTCCCGAACGAACTCGGCGGGGACTCGTAGCCGATCGCTGCTTTCGAACTGATAAAGACTTTCTAGAATATTCTCCCTCTTTCTCCTCCTGAATGTGAGTGCTAAGCCTTCTGTTAGTTCGAAGGAGACCTTCCGGAAAGAACATTCATGCTGACTCGGATACTTCGTCAGATTTGGCTTACGGGTCATCTGCCGCAGAGTGTTCGATTGAAAATGTAACAATTCCTTGAGGTGGTCCGGGAATACGTCGCGGCGAAGACCAGATCGCTTTGCCTCTTCTTTGATGACAACGTGCAAAGGAATATCGGGCTTCGACGGTGTGACTCGCAAACGCAAACCCAGAGCCATCTGCAGAGCGTTGATTATGACATCGACCGGCATATTCAAAGGCAAAATGTACAAACACGGCAAAACGTCCAGCAAATAAATTATACCGAACTGGGCTTCTGCAGTTGGTTGGACCAGGTCATAACGATCAATCGTGAAAACGGATAGACCGTCCTTGCGGACGAAGTACACATTATTTTTGTACACTTTCGTGACGTCGTCATTCGTTTTGTCGAGAGCTCCGCTCAGGTTGACGATGAACGACATCATGAGAATATTATCTTCGACTTGCACAGAAAGTCTGCTCAATGGCATGTTTACTTTGATGATGCCCTTTTTCGTGGAAAAGCGAGCTCTCTGACAGGAATATTTCGAGAACAAAAACCGGGTGACGTCATGAAGAGAACCTAGTGGTAGACAGCACGAGATGATTTCATCGACGCAGCTCGAGATTTCCCGCCCGACGAATTTATCGAGGCAATCCGCATTCCATTGAAGTGCGTCTCTGCGGTATTCCGCTCGATACTCTTCCAAAAAGACTTTGAGAGGATGGATCTTCCAGTTTTCTGAAAATTCAGATATGAGATATTGAGGATTCTCTCCATCAGAGTTCGGACCGTCGGAGGACTGAAGCCCGTCAAGTCTGCAACTTCCGTGTGTGGAAGAGTCCGACCGACAGAGGTACAGTCAGGGTGAGGGGGAACGGGGAGGGATTGCGGAATGAACGCCCGATTTGCGCAAGGAACAGCTTTGCCAGCTCCCGAAAAATCCGGAACCACGGAAAGAGAATGTCTCCCTTCAATAGAGAGGACTTTGGACATAGAGGCAAGGACGGGGTGACGTGGATTGATGGATTTATCTGTGTTGTTACTCTAATACGATGACAGTCGCACACGGAGGAAAATCGACGCGACGAACACATGCTCGCACGTACTCCCCTCTGGATGAGCTCGCGTATGCTCCGGCGATTATTCCTGAGGTTCCGACCTTAACCCACAATCGGGAGGTACCACAAGCTATATTCGAGAATCTCTCACTCAGTGGGAGATCGAGAAAACTCACCGATGATACATTTGAGTGGATTGTAATAAGCAGATCGAGGTGGGATCGGGAGCCGGGGTACGCTCAGTATGGCTTCACTGATCGCCGACTTGGAGTAGGTTTTCGTCTTCTTGCGTCTATGCATCTTATCGGCTCCCTACGAAACCTGTTCCATCACTTGAACTTAAATTAGATGTATTGCATGTGCACTGACGGCTTCACACAGGAAGGAAAAGTTGATCGGATCCGCGGCTCACATCCTCCCTCGCGGGTCTGATCTGAGTGGAGTTTTCAGGTATACGCGGGCTCGAACGTGTCCCAGATAAGCTCGAACTAGTCGTCCGTGAGATAGACAGGCAATCCAGCTGAAGGACAAGTTTCGAACGCGGAGCTTCTATGGGCTCATCTTCGCCGCGTCAGGAACTTGCCGCCATTTTGCGAATATAAACACTATACCCTCTCACAATTTGGCGCCATTCTCGAACCACGACTGCTCTATCGAAAAGGTTTCGTTCAGCTGTTCCGCGGGTGCTGCCCGCCACAATGACATCCCTGGCAGATCAGGGACTGAGTTTAGTGAAAGAAATACTAAGATGTCCAGATTACCTCCAGCCAATGCGCGAGGATGCTTTGAGGTACGATCACTTCCTTGGCATAACATGTTGTTTTCGAGGCGACCATCGGAACGGATGCGAACATCTGCGATAATGTAATTCATCTCGATTGACAATGTCGACACTCATGGTTGAGGGATGTTCTAGGAATATATTCGAAGAAATGAGAGCCCTGAACGAGGCCAATCAAAAAGATGTTCGCCTGATATCCGCTGCGGATTCGGAACGGAGTGACGGCGCGCCTGATGTTCATGTCGTCCTCTACGTCAGACATCAACTTCTGCTCCGACTCCGGAGGTTCCCGATTCAAATCTCACTTGGGATATCCGTGGTCAATGAATTTCAATTCCCAACTCCTCCCAGAGAGCGAATGGAGAAAGCATAATACCAGCCGGATATTCTCTCCTCAGATGTATCATGGCCTATCTCGATGGTCGACTCAAGGTGATACGAGAGTTCAGATGGGCCTTCGGCCCGGTTCTCACGAAGGATCTCAAAGCCAACATGACGGATGGAGAGCAGAAATGGTTTATAGACTATTCAGCTTCTCTTGGCAGGTACCTACAGTTAGGAGCTCTTCGAGAAATAGATTCCATATGGAAATGCACAAGCCCGGACGGATTCTTGGTGACTCCTTCCAGAGCCCAAGGCGATCGGAAACAATCGCCATCGCGCTTCGCCTACCGATTCACCATGATGTTCCGGTCAGTAAATGTCGAGCTTCTTTGCAGATACATGTCATCGATTGGAGAAACCGGAGTGGATCTATTACAACACAGCAAGCCCCCGAAGTCCCTCTATGTCGAGGTCCGAGTACTCGAGGACTACGGGGATTTCGAAACTGAAGATGGTCAGGTCGTGGTTCTTGCCAAGAACTCTACTCATTTCCTCGAGCGGAGTCAATGTGAAAAACTCATTCGACAGGGAGTTCTGGAACACGTGGTTACTTGAAGCAATGGCCCTCAAGTAATTGTATCTGAGAATCTTGGATAAGCCCCCTCCCTTAGAGTGGAGAATATTTATCATTGGCGCATATACGATTGGATGAAAAGATACCTAGTTTCTGCGCCATAGATGCTCATCGATTTCTGATGGCCACCTTGGGGAGAGATCATCCGGGCTGGGTTTTTGTTAGTCGGGAATATGTATATGCTCGGAATAAAGGGTCACGAATGTCGAAATGAGCGCTCGAGCCGATGATTGATGACGTGAACTTCTCGAACTTTTATTAGCTGCTGATCCGATTACCTAAAACTCGCTCCATCGGGGATGGGATCATCATCTCGAGTATGAAAATTTGACTCCTCGTATGAATGTGCCGAGCGCGTCCCTGTGATCCACATGGATAAGGCTATGAGTTGTGGATAAGGCTGCTTCAGAGACAGTGGGAATCCGCGGTGGCTTTCCGCGCGACTCATATGAGCGACGTACGCCTCTTCAGCTTTACTCTGCATTAACAAAAATATCTCCCTCGTTCTTGCGCTCGAATCATACACGAGCTTTCCTAAACTCTTTTTCCGATCGTGTACAATAGGGCTTTCCAGCGGTGCATGGAACTCCGTTAGATCTAATCGTCGTCGCTGCGTTCCGCATTTGTGTCCATATCTGTGGATTGATCTTCGCGATTTCGTTTACGAGGCGCGTCCTCAGAAGGCGAGGCATCTCTCCGTTTAGACGATTTCTTTCCACCAGTTTGGTAGTGGAGATACCTGAAATGAACGGGATCGTAAAAGCTGTCGCACCTTTAGAGGCAACTCCGGCCCCTCATCGAAGACTCTCTAATAGACTCGTTTTGGATGCCACGGAAGTCAGACTTTCAGCGAGCAGGATCAAGTCACTGTCGATGATTCGCACCGGGGTATTGGCGGAATTTCTAAGAATCGAAACTCCGCTCTGGTTCGAGGCTCTCATACGGCTCTCCAAGTCAGAGCGATGATATTTACCGGAGGAGGATGTTGGTTTTCTCTGTAGTTATCGTCTGCGATAAGGGGTGATCTTTTAGCGGAAGGTAAGTTGGAGGCTTCCGTGTGCTGTTTCTGCTCTGGGAACAGGGTTGAAATTTGGCGAAATTCCGTGAGTTGAACGACGGCAAGTTGCTCAAACTTGCTTCGACACCTTCAGAGCTGCACGATGGCCCAGCGGAAAACAATGTTTTCGTGGGCAGATTCCTCATAACGTTCGCCATTTGGTCTTGGATTCTAGCCGGGCCACGTTCTCCCTCACTCTGCGCTCCGAATGGGAATCTCACCAACTGGATTCCGGTACAGAAGACAGGAGTCGACCTCCGAATGCTGCGAGGCCAGCAGCTCCTTCAAGTTTAGATTTGCTTGTTCGAACGCGACGTTTCCGGATCGCTGTCAGATCGGAGCGCTGGAGAGTCAAGGATTCGGAAAGACCTTGGAGTCGACACATTCACGCCTCAGAATCCCTTCCGGAATAAGGTCTGCGCATATCTGGAGTCCAGACAACAGCCGAAACGAATCGATCTGATCAATCCAACACACTTACACAGACACACATAGAACGTACCTCCCCAAAACTCTTCCTCTCGAGATAGAAGCTTGCTTCAGGTCAGACTTGCACCACAAGGTCTCGGGAAGGGACGGAAAGACGAATTTCTAGAATGAATTCCAAACTCAAGGGGCTGAAAGCTCCCGCAGAGCGCGGCGTCTGGCGCTCGGACAGTTATTGATTGAGCGAGCCATCTTGAATCCCGTATGCCGCCTTGTGGAGCTGCACATGGAGAAGAACACCCGAGAGGAGTTCCCATCGAATAATGATAAAAATGTCTCCGCTTTCAAACTATGAAACCTGCCGATCGGCGATTCTAGGGATAATACTCAAGACAATTCTGCTACGGCTGGGCATCCTCAAGAATATCGACGTTCTTGCTCATGCTTGAATTCCCCCTCGTTTCTGTGGACATCAAAATACAGGGCTGCTGTGCGCGAGGATGAGCCAATGTTGGGCTGCTCGTTATTGACGCTCAGAACCACCACCCGCCTCGCTCCCTTCTTGCTGCCCGAAGATCTCCGCGATACGTTTCTGCATGATGACGGCTTAAGATTCCCATTGGACGTTCTCCTATATGGTTCAGGGATGTCGTCTGCATTCGTGGAGCGCGGGCTCGACAGACATCTACTCAGCAGCGGCGGAACTAATTCTTTGTGCCAGGCGTAAATTAAACGACACCGCGAGATGAGAGGTTCAATTTTCGCGAGAGCCTTCTCAGGGGTCAGATATCGAATCTTCGAGATCCCACATGACGGAGTTTCGCCGAGGTGTCCAGATTCCGCACCCTAACATGGCTCTCTTCGCATCAATCTATATCTCATCCTGAGGGTCGGGCTGTCACCGTCGGAAGCGTGACCATCATCCCGACTTTAGGGCGCAGCTAAAAATAAGGAAGACCAGCTGGAACACCATATTTGGCGATGAGACGCGTATGAATATTTGGTATCGTCTCTTCTTTTTGTTTGTTGTCATGGGGGTGCAACACATAATAATCAATCTTAATGACCAGTGGCACCGGATATTCGGTCGAGTCAGAGAGAACCTCCCTGAGTTTGGGGAGTCAAGGCCCTCACTCGATCAGACGTTGCATAAGCTCGACGGAGTATATTGCGTACCGCTTGCCGAACATCAGGAGCGTGAGGAATTAGCAGACGACGCATCTCTGGCCGCAATCATAGAAGCCTGGAGGCGGTACTCAGGGGAAGTAAACATCTTCTTTTTTGGCGAATACCACCTTGGCTTTCAGATAATTCCGGGTTCTTCCCCGCGAACCGAGCCTGGGCATTATGGGAGACATCCACATATTCAGGTGATGAGCAGATCGATTCGTAAGATCGAAATAAGTCCGGAGAAGATCGATGTCGGTGCCAACTTCCAAGATGGCTGGCGGTTTCCGTTTCGGTTTCCTTTTTGCTTCGGTTCGTGGCGTGTGTAGGTACGTATGTGAAAATATTTGAAAATTCCCGAGCAAACGAGACTATTCTTGCCACCCCCTCCGGATATTTGGGGTCGGAGGAAGACTCTAAGCTCTCGTACGGGTTTTCATCGACTTTCTTCATTCTAGGGGCCCGAAACACAACAAAGCCGAACCATGGTGAGTACCACGTTTTTCCTGCCATACCTGTTAGAATTCGGGATGGTACAGATCAGAAAACTCTTCATCGATCTGGTCGTATTCTCTATTGGAGCAGTCTCCAACCGAGCACGCATGGGTATATTGACCTCCCAGGAAGCTTCTACAAGCGTGAAGACTCCCCGTTCTATTTTCGTGCACGAAGCTTGGGTTGCCGGTTTTCTCCCCTTTGTGGACGAACAGAACCTGAGACTTCAACGTTGATTGGATAGTGTGCCGCCGGCAACAACTCTCGAAGGAAGTATCTCAGCGAGCTGTCGAGGCTCACAGAACTGAGCTTCAGCTTCAACTGATCGGCATATCCTTTCTTGACTTCCAGCCGAAGCAGCTGAAAGATATCAAAGAGTTCTTGATGACGGCGCGCCGAGAGGATGCCAAATCCGTCAAAATAAAGAAGAACCGGGATTTGGTGACCAAATTCAAGGTACGGTGCTCGAAATACCTGTATACCATCGTGGTCAAAGAGAAGGAGAAGGCCGAAAAACTGAAGCAGTCTCTCCCCCCTGGTAAGTGATTAGTGATCAAGTTCGGCGCTCATCATTATAAATTATCCATTAATCATGAATAATTCATCGCTGATTATATAAGAGCCGCGCAACCAGCTAGTCCCGTGCCGGGCAACGCTCAATCTTCGCTCTCCGTTGCAGGTCTTCAAGTCATGGAGCTGAAGTAAATAAATTGGGACTCCTCCTGAGTTTTACTTCTGTAAAGCAGTGCAATCATTCATTTCATACCTGAGGATGAGAGACCGATTTGGCTCCCGGAGCTCAGCGGAAGTAAATCGGAATTGTTCCGAATCTGTCATTCGGGACTCAGAGGGTAGCAAATGGGGTCTGGGCGCGAAGAGCTGCATTTGCCGGGGACTCGCTCTAGTTCTCTAATGTAGGAGCCTCGTTCTGCCATGTCAGGGCATTCCATTTATTTCCTTCATCATCTCTCCGAAAAACCGTAATCCCGTAGCGTGGAGATACTACAATCGAAATCGAGAGAGGCGAACGGGAGTACAATGAGTTCAATCATCGCCCCCGGTAGTGGTCATTATGAAACCATGAGGAGCGGAACGCTTCTTGTTCCCCTCCCGCCCTCTTCGGAGGGCCTGAGTGCTCTTTACCTCCGTATATCCAGAAAGGTGGTTTCCAATGACAGCGATCCGTTCGGGATCGACGACCAAGTCGAAGAGATGTCATCTGCTTATTCCGCCGTACAATCATGCGTGTGAGATACATGGAGCGAAAAGCGAAGCGTGCAGCCGGTCATGCGGCTCGATGTGGGTATTGTGGTAATGTCCCCATTAACACTGAAGCAAATCACGAGGTCAGGCTGGAGATTCTTATTCTATTCATCAATCTATTGTCTCACGATGATATCATTCGTCTCTATGGAGCCACGAGCTTAATAATGCCAGTATGTGCGACTTGCAATATTCTTAGACTCCGCCTTTACTGGCGAAGAATCGCGGGAAACTTGAAATCATTTCCGATGACTAGGCATGTAAGTTTTCTGCAACAAATCATCGCCGAAATAGCGGCGTGTCGCGATTTGTAATCGCGAATTCCGCGGAAAATCCCGGAATCCCATCGGAATCGTGGAAAGATCTTTCCGCGATTTATTTGCCGAATCCGCGGCGAGAGTGGATCCTGAGAACTTTGCCGCACAAGTTTGTGTCTCGTGGTGAATCCTGGTCCGGTCGGATTTCCGAATCTGTGGTCTTTATCGAGCGATACCAGGCTTTCACCGGCCCCCGTTCAGGCTCGGATTACGGTCGATCCTCAGAGTCTGATTCCTCAATCAGACAGAAGTTTCTCCGTGGTTGTTCGAAGGAAATCCTTTCGGAGTGATCGGGTGAGGGGATGACAGTTCCGCGGGAATCGGTAAGAGTTGCCGAGAACCATGCTTTCCACGATCGATCCGCTCGCCGCGGAAATTTCACAACCTGACCAATGACTGGCGAAAATCGTTACCTAGCTGGAGATCTTGTCACTTTCGCCGCCGCGACGAAACGATTCCTTCCATCGAAACGCTGCGCACAAGGCGCGCATTGACAGGAGTCTCCGATCGGGGAGCTGGAGCCGGTGACATCCTCACAGCGTTCCAGAACGGGATATGAGAAATGATGAAATAACGTCACGACTCTACAATCGAAGCGCGAAGGGAAGTGAGTTGTTCTCGAGCATGATCGCCCGAGGATTCAGAACATCAAGAAACTCGATGCGGGGAAAATAAACTTGACCGTGCTGTCCGTTTTGCGAATCTGCGTACCCTATTGCTGCGAGCGACAGCGCCTCGATTTCTGGCTCGACTTGAATCGGTGCCAACGGAAGCTGTAAGAAGACGCTGATGAAACAAGGAAAATAGTTTATTTCGCTCAAGCTGGAAGTAGTATTTTATGCTTTATGTGAGTCGCTAATGGAAAATCCGGAGCTTCCATCGCTCCATGAGGGCACCCGTATGTCATAACGACGAGGAACATTAAATCGAAATTATTCATCACTATTCAAGCCGAATGAAATGACAAGCTGTGGCTATCGGATAGACCTAGAGACGGTCTGTCGGATGCTGAGCATGTCGAATGCAAGGCGACAGCAAGCCTTTTGCTTTGTATCCGCCAATGTTGCCACATCGCCGCAAGCTAGACGACCAACATGGCGCAGTCTATTCATTCCGGGGGCGGATACATATATACATATATCCCGGAGACGCTATTCGCCATGCTACGGAGAGATCAGTAGAGGTACCGCCACGAGTCTCCGATCCGGGCTCGCCACTACCCCGGAAAAGAAGAGTTTCCCCTCATCTGAACTCGATCGCTCGAGAGGGATCGGAATTCCCATCGAAGAGGTCTCGGTTGGATCCCTCCGAAGCTCGAAACCGGAATAGATTCCGACGGAGGCATCACCCACTTGGATGGCCTTATGTTCCCACAGTTGGCACGGACTCATTCCTGAACACCGTTATAGAGTTGAGCGGTTCCAAATATACCGTGAAGATTCGAATTGAAGGGCATGCTCGTCTATTTGCCAAGCCCCACAACCTGCACATTCGTTGTAGACTGATCGTATGTTAGAATCAGGCCTCCTATTGTTCCCTTGCCTCAAAATGAGGCTAGAGTAAGGTTCTCTTCGACTACGATAACCGCGGGGTCCATCGTACAAATGCAAACGCTTTCAATTCGGAAAAGTCTATCAGAGTCTTCAGTTATTTTTCTTCAGTTTTCCGGACATGGATACCTGGTTTTCGGCTTTAGAAAAAGCCCGTTCATTAGAGGCTGCTCGTATGTTAGAGACTGCCCTTTCATTCATTCCAAGCCTCCGACACCTGCTGCTCTATCAGACTCTCCTCGTATGATAGAGACTGCTCTTCAATCGGAATAATTCCG